CACCGCAAGCGGTCAGGCAACGCTGAGGAGGGATGTCGGGGCCCCAGATCCGCATGGAATACACCTCGTTCCTTCTGGACTCCAGTCATCCTCGCAGACGCTCCACCCGTCGCCAACGTAGCCCATTGAACAATTGCTTCCGCCTGTACAGCTCAGCGAGCCGAAAGGGCAAGCCAGGGGGGGGTACCAGACGGATGTCCAACTATAGCCACTTAGTGCCCTGTTAGTGCGCTGTGTACAAAGGGCAGAAGAGCTAATCGCACCTCTTTGGGTGCGGCGCACATGTGTGATCCTTGCCGTTAAACAGATTCTGAATGCATGTGCGGTTTCCCTCGCCGTCTGAATTGTCGTTGGATCCACACGGCTCGCGAGTGAAGCTGCCACCTGGAGCAGATTCTCGGGTGCCGCACTTTTGCCAACCACTAGAATCTCGGTGAGGCTCGTGATCAACTGGGCAGGGCTGACAAGCATTGCTGCCAGCAGCTCACAATGTTCCTGCGTCGCAGAATGTGCATGGTAGGTCGCCTGGCACAGCGTATCTCCCTGCGTCGCAACTTTCGCGAGACGCTTGGCCAGCTGCAGGCGCATATCCAGCATCGTAAAGGTTGCGCTCGCTGCTGCCAGCCGCGGAAAATTTTCCTGCGCCGCAAGTGAAGCAATAACCGCCGATGTTGCTGAAGCGGCCGGCTTCGCACGCACTGCATTGCCCGCTACCCCGGGCAGAGAAATCGCCAGAGTGGCAGCTGCTGCGTTGGTGCCCAGATGCCGCTGTTGGCATCGGAAAGGGAACATAATGACCTATCATTGGGGGATCGCTACAAATCGAACTGGAAGCTCCCAGAACACGCTCCGCAATAACCCCTTTCTGTGCAACCAATGATGCACGTGCAAATGCCAGCGTGCTGGCAAGTGCCGCGCTTACTGAAGATGTTCGGCTGCACGCATCCGAGCATCCTCGGCGGCCCGACAGGCCACGAGCGTGTTAGACCTGGGCCGGCGCCCGAACGGACAGAGCGCTTCAGGAACTTGCCCGAGATGGTTCGTGGCACCCTTCTCTCTTGCGAGCCTTGGCGTAGAGAGCTTGTTGCGTCACCGCTCGCTCTTGGGAGCCTTGGTGTTCAGAGATTGTTGCGTTGCCGCTCGCCCTTGGGGGCCTTGGTGTCGAGAGTTGTTTACGTCATCCTTCGCTCTTGGGAGCTTCGGAATCGAGAGCTGTTTACGTCACCGTTCGCTGTTCGGAGCCTTGGTGTGAAGAGTTTTCGCGTTTCCGATCGCCACCGTGCCTTGGTTGTCGGTCGGAGGCTTGTTCGGTGTTCGCTGGGATATGGGGGGGGTTTCTCGCAGGCCTCGCGGAGGTAGTTTCGAAGGCTCTTGGGGACCGTTTTGGGGCCTCTGGTTTTTTTGGGGGGGCTTCAGAGGGGGCCTCTTGGGACCTCTTGGGAACCTCTTGGGGGGCCCTTTGGGGGCCTCCTGGGACCTTCTCGGGGCGGAGGGCTCAGCTTCTCGGTTCGTGGTCCCTTTTTTGGGCCCGTTGTGGGGCCGGGCCGTCTTCGGCGCCTCTTAGGCCGTCCTGGCGCCCTCGTGGGCCGTTTAAGGGCCTCTTGGGAGCCTCTTGGGCTGTCTTGAGGCAGTTTTGGGGTCTTCTTGAATAGTTCTCAACGCCGTGAAAGCCGAAGAGCCGCATATGCTAAACATTGACGTTTTCCGTTCGTCAATCAATGATTTTGTCCTCTCGGGGCTCTCTTGGGGCGCCTCTTGAGCGCCTCTTGGGGCCTCTTGGAGGCGTCTGGGAGCGTCTTGGGGGCATCTTGGGCCGTGTGGGTGCCATCTTGGGCGTCTTGGACCGTTTCGGGGGCCTCTTGGGGCCTTCTTGGCCCGGTGTGGGGCCCCTTCTGCGACCATGATGCGTTCGTCCGGGGCGAGGGGAGGGGGGTCAAATTGCCAGTTTGGGGTCCCAGGGGGGGGGGATTAGGGGGGGACAATCTCACACGCTTAGAGACCCACAATGGGGTCGGCGGATCCTTCTTCTTCTTCTTCTTGTTATTCGTCTTCTTCTTTCTCTTCTTGTTCCTCTTCTTTCTCTTCCTCGTCTTCTTAGCCTGCCGCCGATTCTTCTTCTTCTTCTTCTTCTTCTTCCTCTTCTTCGTCTTTTTAGTTTGACTCTTTCTGTTGCTGGCCCGACCCCGCGACCCACTCCCGCGACCCGCTGTCCAGCATCACTCCGGACCAGCCCCCCGTCGACCCGCCCCCGTCGACCCGCCCCGCGGCCCGCCCCGCGACCCGCCCTGCGGTCCATCCCCGAGCCGCCCCGCGACCTGTCCACGATCCACCTCGGCGGCGGGCGAGGAGTGGGTGCGTCATCGCGCCAGCATCGCAGAGCGGATTTCGTTCGGAAAACGAGGGTGGGCTCGGAGTGTCCCAGAGATTTTCGTTCCGGATTTCGAGGTGAATTTCGTTTATTTTTTCAGGCCAGGAGCGAAGACACAAATCACCCACGCGAAATTCACTTCGGTCTGTAACCCACGCAGAACTCAATGCAGAAATCCGCTGCAACACCTCTGCAAGTCCGGTGCAATGAGAAGGTAGAAGGAGAATGCCTTCCCAGAAGGCTCGCGGCCCGAGGTCTTCGAGCGTCGTCGCTTCTCGAAGGCCTTCCAGCCTCGGGATGCGCTCCAGCGGCTGCACCTCGCCGAGAGCGTTCTGCGGGTCCCCGGATCGTCCCGATCGGCCGCCAGAGACCCGAGCTATGACCCCCGAACCACCTTCGGCGGCGGGGCGGAAGTGAGAAGGCCTCTGCGTGGATTCCGCTGCAGCGGGCCGCGGCTCTCGCGCAGGGCCCGCCGACCCACCGCCCCGGGGGCCAGCTGGCGCGGCCGAGCCGGGCAGGCTGGTGCGCGCGCGACGGGCGAGCGAAGCCGAGCGCTGCAAGTGCGCGGAAGCATGTCAATTAGCACGCTCCTGCGCAGCGGCGCGCCCCGGCGCCGCGGCGCGCCCCCCTGGGCGCCTTCTCGGAAGGAAGCGGGACCTCTCAGAGGGCCTCTGGCCTTCCGAGAGGCTTCTTTCGCTGCGTCTTCGGGGAAGGCTCCGCGGAAAGCCTCTCGGAAGGCCCGGGGGGCTTCCGCGTCTTCCGAGGAGGCCCGCCCCTGCTCTCGAGGGTCCTCGGGACGCGTGTCGGCCCAGGCACGCGCTGACCCTGTCCGGGTCGGCCGGCAGCGCGCAGCCTGTGTCGGCACTCGTGGCGCCGCCTGCGTCGTGCTGCAGGGCCTCGATGGACAACACGCGCGTCGCCGCCAGCACACGTTCTGAGGATCATCGATGCTCGCCTCCTCCTCCTCCTCCTCCTCCTCCTTCTCCCGCTCGTCCTCCTCCTCCTCCTCCTTCTCCTCCTCCTCCTCCTCCTCCTCCTCCTCGATGCTCGCCTCCTCCTCCTCCTCCTCCCTCCTCCTCCTCCTCCTCCTCCTCCTTCTCCCTCCTCCTCCTCTCCTCCTCCTCCTCCCTCCTCTCTCTGCCCCCCCCCCCCCCCCGGCTCGCCGCCGAGCACCTGCGAACCACCCACGGCCCGCCCGCCGACCCGCCGCGCCCTTCGCCCGCCGACGCACCCGAGGCTCGCGAGGTGCCCCGCCGCGCCGGTCTGGCAGTGCAGGCAGTGCCTGCGACGGGATCGCTGTTGCTCAGAGCGCGAATTACCTACCCCGCTTTCGCTTCCAGGCAGAACCAAGCCATACCACGCGCCTCCTCGTCGAGCGGCCTGGCCAGTACAGGCCGTAGTTTGGCAACGTTTGGTATCTCTTGGAAGCGAGGGTGGTTAAAAGCGAGGTAGGTTTGTTTTCCCCCTAGTTGCGGGGCCGAAGAATATACACTGCCACCACCTCCCTCACTCTAAGAAGAAACAACGGCATACGCCTATTTTTTGAGGCGCTTCGCGCGGATTTCTCGGATCCGCGCTGGGCCCCCCCCCCCCCGGCGGCGCCTCTGGCGCCGCCCCCGGCGCGGTCCGCGCGCCAGGGAGGGGGTTCCGGCGCAGATCCAAGAAATCCGCGCGGAGCGCCAGCAGTTTATGTTTATGCCGTTTTTTTCTCTTTATATCCCCAGGACGGAGGAGAGGAAGAAAAGGCTTGAGGAGTGGAGGGGGGACGAAGGGGGTGGTGGTGGTGGTGGTGTATGTTCTTGGCGCCCGCAGTTGGTGCAATATGTTGGGAGGTCTGCGCCTGCGGCCGGCATCTCCGCATCTGCTTTCGAGCCTCGCAGCCTGCCGACACCCCCCCGCAGAGCGTACCACCGCCTTTTCACTCCATCATTACAGTTTAAATCCCGCTCTGACCCCACGACCAGCCCATCATGTCTGACCATCCTAACTCCGTTAGCGCTCCGTCCCAGCTCCACCATTGTTCCATGGCCCTCCATTCGCAGACCAGTTCATGCCATTACCACTCCATTTTCAGTTAACTATTGTTCTGATCTAGCTGAATCAACACACAGTGCGGCAGCCACACATATGCCTTCTACACAACGGTAGTACAGTAAGGAGTCTTCTGATTTTCAACGTGTCGATGCGTCAATACGCCCTCCCGAACTATCATTGTTACGCCGTTGTTTCCATCAGCGTAGCACTTGTCATTTATCCGTATCCGTCATCATTCATCTCGCTTCCTCCCCAGATTTCCAGTTTTATCCGCGTCGTCCGCCTCCTCGTTATCCGTTTGCTTCATCCTCCTCCATCCGTTTCTCGTCTTCTCCTTCTTTGCTGTGTAAGCGCTTCGTGAGGCCCTCTCGTATCAGTCGAGTTGAGGAGGTGTTTGGTTGATACTTTCCTGATGTGTGAGTCTTCAGTTTTACCGTTGTACCGATGTTGCTTGTCAGGATTTCGATCGAGTTTTGTATTTCCCCTTCGGTGAGCGCCGTCCAGTGTTTGCGGGGTCGGCTCCATAGGAGCAGGGCAGACCACATGAGCACGGCAGACCACGCAGGAATGCGGCAGACCGCACCTGAGCTCGTTCCGTAGCCATTTTGGCTCAAGCCTGCCTTGGGCGCCAGGCGGTCGGCAGCGTTGGGTTTGCGCTTCTCGCCTGCTCAGGGAGAAGCGTTATCCTCTTGCCGCGGCCATGGCCCAGGCGGTGGCTACGGTCCCGCCCCCGCGGGGGGGCGAGCGCAGGCTGCTGGCGGCGATGGCGCCGCTCGTGCAGGCCGCGGCGCATGGGGCAGCGGCTGGAGGCGGCACCCGCCAGGTGGTGGCGGCCGCGGTGGCGGCGGCCATCCGCACGTGCGCGGAGGTGCTGGCTGAAGGCGATAGCGACGACGGCGAGTGCGCGAGGAGCTCGCACAGCCGCACCTGCGGCTCCACGTCGCCGCAGGGCGCGACGGGGTGCGGGCCCAGCCCTCTGGGGCCTGCCGCACATTCCGCCACTGGGCACTCCACGCGGGCTTCGGGGGCGGGGCGGCGGCGGCGCCTGCGACGGCGGCGGAGGCCAAGAGGCGCGTCCGCGGGCAACGCAAGAGAGGCCGTGGCGGCCTGGAGAGGGACCCGCCGCCTGCAGGCGCGCAGGTGCTGGAGGGCAGCAGCGGGGACTCCTTCTCCGAGGACGCGTCGGAGATGCCGCACGTGCTGGGCGCGAAGTTGGAGATGGAGGACATCGAGGGCGCCCCAAACTACAAGGCCACGGACGAGCTGAAGGAGAGGTCCTTGCTTAAGCCAGTGGCGAAGCAGTTGGGGGAGCCGACGGAAAAGGCCAGCGAGTGCGCCCCAGACAGCAAGGCTGAGAAGGTGGGGGTACTGGTCTCGGACGTGAGCGTTGGAGACGTGCTGGGCCTGGATAACACTCGCTTCTGCAAGGGGAAGTTCCGGTACGACCCCGAGAAGCAGGAGGAGCTGAGGAAGCAGGGCGCGCTGGTCGGGGGCACGGTCGACAACAGCGCGGAGGCTTGCACGCAGGACTGGTTCGTCGGGGAGCTGTCCGTCGAGGTGGGCACGCAGACGGTGGACCAGGTCGAGGGCGAGCAGCAGCAGCACGGCGTCGGCTCCGTCAAGAGCGACGCTGACCGAGTGCCGCCGCTCGCGGCTGGCTGCGGCCGCAGCGGCCCAGGCGGCAATCCTGAGCGGCGATCTGGCCGAGGGGCTGCGGTTGCTCGAGGCGGCTCAGGTCTTCGGCCAGGCCGAGTGAGGCGTGCAGTTGCATTCTGTATGTAGATCTGGTCTCGCCTCGGTGGGGGGGTTGGGCGTCTGAGGGGGCTTGGCCCTTCCGCTTGCCCAGGCTCGATGAGGCCGCCCCGTTTTGGTTTACCACATGATCTTTGCATATCACACAGGAGCACGGCGGAGCACACAGGAGCGTGGCAGACCCCGCGGGGGCGCGGGAGACCACGCAGGAGCACGGCACACCGCGCGGGAGCACGGCAGATCACAGGAGCACGGGAGACCGACCACGCGAGCGCAGCAGAACGCACGAGAGCATCGCAGATCATGTAAATACGGGAGGCCACAGGAGCATGGCAGACCACTGGAGCACGGCGGGGCACATGAGCACGGCAGACCGCGCAGGAACATGGCATTCTACACATGATCGCCGCGGACCACATGGGCACGGTAGACCTCGCAGGAGCACGGCAGACCCCACAGGAGCATTGCACGTCATTAGGAACACGGCACGCCGCAGGAGCACGGTAGACACCGCAGGGGCACAGCAGATTACACAGGAGTGTGGCGGACTAGACAGGAGCACGGCAGACCACGGCAGGAACGGTGCAGATCGTAGGCGCACGGAAAACACAGGAGCACGACAGACCACAGGATCACGGCGGGGCACAGGGGCACAGCAGAGCCCGCAGGAGCACGGCAGACAACACAAGAGCACGGAAGACCACATGAGCGCGGCATACCACACAGGAGCACGGCAGATTACACGGGCACGGCAGATCATAGGAGCACGATAGACCACAGGAGCACGGCAGACCACAGGAGCACAACCGTTGACAGGAGCATGGCAGACCACACAGGAGTACAGCAGAACACGCAGGAGCACGGCAGACCGCAGGAGCACGGCAAAACACGTCACAGGAACACGGCAGACCACACAAAAGCACGGCATACCACACAGGCGCACGGCATACCCCACAGGAGCACGGCAGACCACATGAGAACAGCAGACCACAGGCGCACGGCTGACCCCAACGAAACGCGGCAGACCCCACAGAAACATAGCAGAACACGCAGGAGCATGGCAGACCGCGGTTGTACGGCAGACTTCCTTATTTTACATTTTTCTTGTTCCCAACTATCCTGTGGTGCTGCGTCCTCGTCTTGAAGAGACAGCGCCCCGCGTTCTCCTTCCTTCCTTCCTCCTCCTGCTCCTCCCTCCTCCCGCCACGCCCCTCACTTTGGCACACCCCTCACACGTTTCGTGGCCCCATAGGGAGCTCCACGGAAGGCCCGAGTGCCACCGCCCGCATGCGCCACGCACACAAATATCGGCACACCCCTCACACGTTCCGTGGCCCCATAGGGAGTTCCACCGAAGGCCCGAGTGCCACCGCCCGCATGCGTCACGCGCACCCATTTCGGCACACCCCTCACACGCTTCGTGGCCCCATAGGGAGCTCAACCGAAGGCCCGAGTGCCACTCACGCGCGCGCATTTCGGCACACACCTCACACGTTTCATGGCCACATAGGGAGCTCCACCGAAGGCCCCAGTGCCACCGCCCGCGTGCGCCACGCACACCAATTTCGGCACACACCCCACACGTTTCGTGGCCCCACGAGGAGCTCCACCGAAGGCCTCAGTGCCACCGCCCGCATGCGGCACGCACATCCATGTTGGCACACCCCATCACACGCTTCGTGGCCCCATAGGGAGCTCAACCGAAGGCCCCAGTGCCAGCGCCCGCATGCGTCACGCACGCGCGTTTCGGCACACCACTTATACGTTTCGTCGCCCCACAGGGAGCTCCACCGAAGGTCCCAGTGGCTGCATTCGCATACGTCCACCGCATCCACTTCGGCACACCCATCACACGTTTCGCGGCCCCATAGGGAAATCCACCGACGGCCCCAATGGCTGCTGTCGCAGGTGCCCACCGCACCTATTTCGGCACACCTTTCACTTGCTGGCCTCATAGGGAATTCCACCGACGGCCCCAGTGGCTGCTTTCGCATGCGCCGACCAGACATTTTTTTGCACACCCCTTACATGTTTCGTAGCCTTATAGGGAGCTCCTCCGAATGCGTTGCACACAACGACGGTACTCACAGCTGCATATGGTTGGGTCCGTCGTCAGGCTAATTTTTGGCGTACATTCCTGTGTGACCAGTGCGTTCGCTCCCGTTCTGCTATTAGCCCGCGTCGTTTTCCCTGCAGAGAGAACCGCTTCCTGCCGCCACCGCCATTCCCATCGTTGTACCATCGTTTAGGGGACGACTACCGGTATGACCTGAATGTTTTCGCCGTCGGGGACGTCTGCTCCAGGGCGGCTGGGCAGTTTGTACCCCGACGTGCCACCGTAGGGGTATAAACATTACAGACGCCCCGAGGCAGGCATCCCCGACGGCGGAAACGTTTATGTCGTACAGTCAACCCGCATGGTAAGGATGGGCAACCTTCCCCTTCGGCCCATCCTTGGCCCTTCGGCCCATCCTTGGCCGCTTTCGCTGGCCGCGCCCCGCCCGCCAAGTGTCGACATGGCCCTCCAAGGCCCTGACATCCTTGCCGTGCATCCTCACTCCACGTGTTGACCGTACCGCTCTTCGTCCCCATCGCTGCCGTCCTCGGCGCAGGCCACCGTCCTGGGCTTCGCCGTGCGTCGGGCGTCGGCCTCTCTATCTGGCCTGCGCCGCCCGTGGCTGCGAGCGAGGTGGACGCCGACGTGTCCATCGGGACCGTCTTCGAGGGTGTGGAGAAGGGCTTCACCGACCGCCTGGTTGGGCACGGGGCGGCCCACTGCCGGCCTCCAGCCTGGACCTCCTCCACCTCCTTGGGACGCTGCGCGGGACTTACCGCTCGTCCTCCTGCTCCTCCTCCTGCTCCTCCTCCTGCTCCTCCTCCTCCTCCTCCTCCTCCTCCTCCTCTTCCTCCTCCTCCTCCTCCTCCTCGTCCTCCCCCTCCTCCTCCTCCTTCTCCTCCTCCTCCTCCTCCTCCTTTTCCTTTTGACGTTGCGCGGACTTTCTGCTCCTCCTCCCGCTCCTCCTCCCGCTCCTCCTCCTACTCCTCCTCCTCCTTTTCCTCCTCCTCGTCCTCCTCCTCCTCCTCCTTTTGACGTTGCGCGGACGTACTGCTCCTCCTCCCGCTCCTCCTGCTGCTCCTCCTCCTCCTCCTCCTCGTCCTCGTCCTCGTCCTCCTCCTCCTCTGACGTTGCGAGGACTTTCTGCTCTTTGTCCCGCTCCTCCTCCTGCTCCTCCTTCTACTCCTCCTCGTCCTCTTCCTCTACCTCTTCTTCTTTCTCCTCCTCCTTCTCCTCGTCCTTTTGACGTTGCGCGGACTTACTGCTCCACCTCCCGCTTCTCCTCCTGCTGCTCCTCCTACTCCTCCTCGTCCTTCTGCTCCTCCTCCACCTCCTCGTCCTCCTCCTGCTTTGACGTTGCGCGGACTTACTGCTCCTCCTCCCTGGCCCTGGCCCTCCCCCCCCTCCCTCCCCCTCCCTCTTCCTCCTGCTCCTCCTCCTTCTCCTGCTGCAGTCCTCCTCCTCCTCCTCCTGATCCTCTTCCTCCCCCTACCTCCCCCTTCCTCTTCCTCCTGCCTCTCCTCCTCCTCCTCCTCCTCCTCCTCGTCCTTGTCCTTCTCCTCCTCCTCCTCCTCCTCCTCCTCCTCCTCCTCCTCCTCCTCCGACCCCTCCAGCGCACTGGGGCGCCGAAGGCATGGGGGGGGGACTCTGGCGAAGCGTGTGCTCAGGAGAACCAGGGAGGCCGAGGAGTACGTAGACGAGGGAGAGGAGGGGCACGACCCCGCTTCGGCGCTTCTGTCCAGGGCGCTCGCCCGTGCCTCGCGCGCCTGCGGCCCTGGCGGTGGGGAAGGGAAGACAGGGGCCCAGACCTCGCGTCGACCCGATGGTGTGACCACGTGCAAGTAACCACGTTGGCCTTGACCGCGCGGGTTGGAGGGGTGGAACAGCGGCCTGCTGCGTACAACATGCGTGGAACACCTCGGGGAAACCCAGCATTGTCCTCCCCTGCCTGACCCTCCCTCCTCCCCCGCCCTCGAGGCAGGAGGACGAGGAAACCAGCAAAAAAGGAACTGCAGGAGGAGGAGGAGGAGGAGGAGGAGGAGGAGGAGGAGGAGGAGGAGGAGGAGGAGGAGGAGGAGGAGGAGGAGGAGGCGGAGGGGGTGTAACCACAGTTGCCCGGTTACCCTTGGCACTGCGCCATGGGGGGCCAGCCTTTCTGATCACACGCCAGGAGGGATAACAGGCACAGGCACGCCTGCACATGTAAGGGCTCCCGCAGTGCTTTTCGACTTCTGTGCGTCTCCCCGGGCCCCTTCGAACACGGGATACCGCGGCCTCGACGGCGCGGGGTCGTATCTTCGCAGGAGTTCCAGGAGATCCGTTGCCTCGAGGGCCGGCGCCCATGGTCTTTTACGACGGGCCGTGGCGGTATCGGAGGCGCGGCATAGGGCATAGGCGAGGCGGTAGAGGAAGAGAGAGAGAGAGAGAGTGGTAGCGGAGGTGGATGCGGCGCCTCTCGCAGATAACCCATGCCCTCGCGCACACGGGAGGGGCAGTCCAGTGAGCCTCAGGATGCTCCAGACCCTGGCACCTGGGTCGTGATTTCGCCGATTGCTTTTTTCGGTTCAGGATGGCGCAGGACGACCGTAACCGTGAGCGGGTCAATTCGTATCGCTCCGTTGTTCGACTTCCGCGCTGGTGACTGGAACAGCCAGGACGGAAGTCGGTGCATGCGTCCTCTCCCCTTCGCTTCCTTTGTGTCATCCACGTGAGCACCAGCACGTATCACCAGAGGGACGGGATGGGCAATTTGTGGCCGTGCTTCGTCACAGTACTGATACCATCGGCCTTGCCGTGGGCTATGTGAGGCTGGTGGTGCGTCGTGCACGGTAAGGGCTATCGCGACACGGGGAATTCGCTCCCTGTCATCCCACTCTCACGATTGTATCCTCGCAGTACGCGGTGAGGACTCTCGCTCCTGCTGTACCTTCGTGGTGAAGCCCCTCTCAGACGCTCATCGTCACAGGGTGGCGGGTCCTGGAGGGAGTTCTTCCGGCCTGAAAGCAATCGGGTGGCCCAGAACAGGCTATCCTGCAAGCGACAAGCATGTACGGTAATTCGGTTCGCGTCGTGTCGACCAGCGACGACCCCGCCGCCGGCGTTCAGCGCGGAGCGCCTCCGGCGACCCGGAATCAAACGATGCCGAACGATCCCCGCGGTATCGGGATCCAACGCCAGGGTCGACACGGCACGAGCCCGCGGTACAGTGGGGGCATCAAGAAACCATATGTGTTTCGTCAGGGCATCCTGGGTTTCTTCGCTCCGCGAGCTGCGCGGTGGCTTCCCGTGGCCGTTGAAGCTGCTGCTGCGTTCAGGGCACTCTGGGCCCCCCCGCTTGCATCTCGCGCCTGCGGGTTTCACGACGGGGTTTCTTTGCGAGAGTTTCTTGCGGCCGCGCCCGCACCGCACACGGCTCCCCTGCAGCCTCCCTCCTCCTGGCAGCCTCGGGCGCCGTGGGCCCTCTCCTCGGGCCGGCCGCGCTGCCGGACGCCTGCTTCTTCCTCGGATCGTCGGCGGCGGCGAGCGATGCCCCGCCGACCGAGGGCTTGCGCTGCCCCGTCGCTTCTTCTCCGCCTCCTCCGCGAAGAGGAGGAGGCGGAGGAGGAGGAGGAGGAGGAGGAGGAGGCGGAGGAGGAGGAGGAGGAGGAGGAGGAGGAGGAGGAGGAGGAGGAAAAGGTACCCGATGCCGCTGCCCCTCGCGCCGTTTTCCCCTGCTAGGGGGGCCTCTTGGGAGGCCCCCGCCGCCGCCGCGGGGCTCGCCCCGAGAAGTCCTGACGTCAGAAGGCGCCCCTGGGAGAGGTCCGGGCTACCCCGGGAGAGGTCGGCCCTCCCCCGGGGCGCCTCGCGCACCCCGCACCCTCGAGGGCGCCGCGGCCGCACACCTCGAGGGCCCGCCGGCGTCGGCAGCATCCCTCGATCGCGCGGCGCCACAGGCGGCTGGAGGGTTTCCCCGAAGGGCTTAATTAGGCGACCCGTCCTCCTCCTCCTCCGCCTCCTCCTCCTCCTCTTCCTCCTCATCCCTCCTCCTCCTCCTCCTCCTCCTCCTCCTCCTCCCCCTCCTCCACCTCCTCCTCCTCCTCCTCCTCCTCCTCCCCCTCCTCGGGTCGCCTACGGCCCCGGGGGAAACCGTGCACAGGCGGCGCTTGAGTACTGTGACGAACGAACAGCACGCACTCGTCCCCATAGCCATAGGGGGGACGGAAAGGGCCGTGGGTGCGCTTCGTCGGATGGCGGTGCCCGCTCGACCGGGAGTCTCCCGCGGGGTCCGACAACCCGCACCCATAGTTACCCGTAGCCAGTCTTCATCCCTCCGACCCCCCTGATGGGTATGGGTGTGTGTTGCTGTTTCGCCCTGCTGGGACGCGCTCGGGGAGCAATGATGATATTCGAAGAAAACGCCATAAACATAAACTTTTTGCGCTCCGCGCGGATTTCTTGGATCCGCGCTGGACCCCCCCAGCGGCGCCTCCGGCGCCGCCGCTGGCGCGCTCTGCGCGCCAGGGAGAGGGGTCCAGCGTCCAGCGCAGATCCAGGAAATTTGCGCGGAGCGCCAAAAATTGATACCTATGGCGTTTTTCTTCTTCTGTACACGGGCGTTGAGGATGGCGCTACTGGTGATGGCGGTGTCGCTGTTGGTTCTGCGGATGCGGATTCAGCTGCGAATGATGGCGGCGGTGCGGATTGCGAACGCCATCCCCCGCCCATGGGCGATTTCCCCCATTCTTCCCTTCAGCCCCCATGAGCAGCGACCACAGGCGCCGTCCATCGGCGCCCGCCCCGCGCATCGGAGATGTCCGCCCATTCGGGCCACATCTGTGCCCAGACCATATGGGCCCTAGAAACGGATTGCTAACGGGGGCATTGTAAAACCCACGGGGTTAAAACGAGGCGTGGGCAATGGTTCGAGTCAGGGCTCTACTTTGACGACCAGGGCGTACTTGCTGCACAGTATGTGAGATTTGATTCGGGGTTAGGGGGTGGGCATGTTTTGCCACGTTGCGGCTGGCGTATGGTCATGTTCCGCGGCAGATGGCCATGAACATAATGGATCTGCCATGTCTGCCCATACTTTGCTCGCGCTCCAGACCGGTCGTCTGAGTCCCCCGTGCTCGACTGGTACATGGGCGCAGTGGCAGCAGTAGTCGCAGGGGCAATTGCAGTGCTGGCAGGGTCAG